CCCCAAAACCCCAAAACCCCAAAACCCCAAAACCCCAAAACCCCTTAATTGTAAATAAATATTGAAATTATTTTACTTTTTGAGATATTTCAGAATTAGATACACAGGAATTCTAAAGCATTTTCCGTCACTCAAAATTCCTGGTCATTACTCTCTCAGAATCATGTGCTTATATAGCAAACCTAGTTTCGATTTTCCATGTTCTTTCAGCGATGTTATAGGAGTATAGGTTCTTAGTTGTGTTATTCCAGCCGACAACATAAAGGTAGCCATCAAAGCTGAACACGTAGTTCGAGAATGAGCCCACCTTGGGTAGAGAGTTAGTCTTTTCCATCAGGTTGGAATCGATATGGAAATAGAAGCAGTCCTGAGTTCTAGCTGTCTTATCAAATCCTCCAAAAAGTAGAATTGTTTTTGTATCAATTGGCATGCACATAGCTAAATCGCAAGCGATCCAGGTTGAGCTTGGGTTTAGGTTTACCATTCTCCAAAGGTTTAGATCAATGTCATACATCTCAATAGTGTCGGTGATTTCTTTCTTCTCAAACTTGGTTCTTCCACTAAACACGTAGATATATTTGTTATTAATAATACAGCTAGCTGCAGAGTCTCTGGCGACGTTTAGATCAGCAATTCTACTCCAAGTGTCATTCTGAATGTCATATTTCTCACATGCAGTGTAGAAGCTCTTTGCATCATTTCCTCCAATTACATAAATGAGGCCTCTTTCTGAGTAAAGTGCTGTGAAATCCGATCTTCTGAAGAGCAAAGGTGATCTGTACACCAACGATTTTTCATTATCAAGGTATTCTAGCATCCAGTCACAGCAGACATTATCTTGATGTCTTCCTCCAATACAGAAGATTCTTCCTTCATCGGTGACTACAGTCCTGCAGAACTTAGGGATGTTGAAGTCGATGCTCAGGGTGACCTTCTCTGAGTTTTGCTTCTCCACTTCATAAAAATGAATGTGTTTGGTACCCCACTCAAAGTAGTGCACGTTCTTGGATGATGTATACGATTTCTTCAAAATGAAGGTGTTCTGGAGCAACTCTGAAAACTTATCATTAATATCAACCTCTGAATAATCCGCAATGGTGCAGGACAACTTTTTGAGCTCTCTTTCTTCAATATTAAGCTCCTTATAAACCTGCTCGATTTGATTTCTAATATTCTCAAACAGGAAGAAGTCTTGTGGGCATTCACGAAGATTTTGGATCTCTTTCCCAATTCCTTCTATTTTCTCCAGTACTCCCTGTACAGTCTCTACAATTTCTTTCTGTTTCTCTTTGGAATTCTTGAGCTCGCCCAGTACCATGTCTTCGAAATATCCGTTCAGGAATTTGTTCTCAATATCTTTGAACTTATTAAGAAGCCCTTCGAACTTCTTATCGTAATTTTCCTTTATGCTAGAGACTCTGTCATTTATATGGGAAAGTTTGTGCACTTGTTCGTCAACCTTGTCGTGGAAGCTTGGGACTTTGTCCTTCAGGTCCCCCATGCTGTTGTGCAGGTCTTCTAGTAAGACAACCTAGAGTTAGGGAGGGATTTACCTCGTGGTCTCTGTGCTCTTCCAGCAGGCATTTGAAGCAGACTGAGTAAAGATCGTTCATGCAGAAGGCCTTGATGTCTTCTGAGGCGTGAATCTTGCAAAACATCTAGAAGATGGTTAAGATTAGGAGAAACAGAAGTCGAGAGGGAGGGAAGGAAGTGGGGCTTACTTGAGACCTTTCGGTGTCACTATCCATCTTTATTCGAACTTAAATTATATATAACTTATTTCAAAAAGTTGACTACTACCAGGGGTTTTGGGGTTTTGGGGTTTTGGGGTTT